CCTCCTCCTCCTCCTCCTCCTCCTCCTCCTCCCTTTGATGACATAGTTCTGGGTTTCTGCCTTCCCAGTCTGTAGATCTTTTGGGACTGCAATTCCAGGTTTCTCTGCCCAACATAAAAAATCCACCCCTCTCTGCCCCACTGTGTTTTCCGTTGGTTACTCCTGTATTATTCAAATCCCTAACAAAAGTATAATTTAAGCCCATTACAAAATACATCTGCTTTCAATCATATCAGCACCAAGGATGCCTGAATAGACAGGAACATCTGCTCACAAACCCCACACTTATGACCACAACTGAAAATTTATGTTGCTAAGTAAGACAGTTGTTAAATGAGTTTTGCTTCCTTTTATGATCTTTTGCCAAAGTTGCTAAATGAATCACTGAAGTTTTTAAGTGAATCTGGCTTCCCCATTGACTTTGTTTGTCATAAGGCTTTGCAGAAGGAGATCACATGATCCCAGGACACTGCAACCATCATAAATATATGTCAGTTGCCAAGCATCCAAATTTTGATCACATGATCACGTGGATGCTGCAAAGTTTGTAAGAATGAGGACTGGTCATAAGTCACTTTTTTCAGTGCCATTGTAACTTTAAATGTCATTAAATAAATGGATGTAAGTCGAGGACTACTTCTGAAGGGCAATTAATTTAATACAAAGATGCTATTATTGAAATAGCTAGATTTATTTTTACAGTGGACAGTCAGGCATTCTTCTCAGACAGAGTATGGAAATTACTTGAAGTAGTACCAGGGTGACTACAGAATTCATGACCTGACTTCAACACACAATAACTAGAACAGGGGTGTCAAACTCTATTTTATTGAGGGCCACATCAGCATTGTGGTTGCCCTCGGGGGGGGCCAGGCAGGGCCATGGGGAGGATCTGGGGGTCTCTGGCAGAGGGGGGATTGGACTGGGGCAGGCACCGGGGCCTGGTCCACCAGAGGAGCCTCGCTGTCCGTCTTGGGCTACGCCACAGTCCCCCGCACACTTGCCACCTCCTGTGCCAGGCTGGGGTGGGGGGGTTGGGATGGTTGGGGGCCAGTCCCTTGCCATCTCTGGGGTGGCCCCATGGGCCAGAAATGGGCCCATCACGGACCGGATGTGGCCCACGAGCCTTGTGTTTGACATGTCTGAACTAGAAGGTCCATCATGCATCTGTGTTTATTCAGATATAAATCCCATGGACATGACCCCTGGTAAGGGCAGGGTTTTTACAGTGCATTGAGATTTTGGGTTGTTTTGGGACCAAATTGTGTGTTGTATAGATTACTGTGTAACTATTCAAGTTCTTGGGTGCAATAATGAATAATTTAAAATGACCATGGAGGGTTCCTGGATCTACCAACTATATTTCTTCTCAAAAGGCTTCATCAAACTACTTTTCTTTCCATCATTCTCCATTACAATACCTGCCTGTCAGGACTTACCCAGAAGTAGATGAATCTTCCTTAGAGAATTAGGGATGCTATCACTGGTCTTAATCAGGTAAAAGTGCCAGGGATGAATCAGGTAAAAGTGCCAGGGATGAATAGAAGTAGATTTGAGGGCTTGGTACATCTTTGGGACTGCAGGAGTAGAGAGAACTAGAGCCAGTTTAGTGTAGTGGTAAAAGTGCTAGACCAGGAAACCTGGAGGCTCAGAGGTAGGAAAGCCAATTTGATGACCTTGGGCCGGTTACTTTCTCTCACTTCGTAGGTAATTATTGTGGGAAACATAGGAGAAGGCATATTATGTATGTTCATCATCTTGGGTTTCTTATAAAGTAATAAAGGCAGGATAAGAATCTAATAAATATAAAGACAGGATGAAAATCTAATGAATGAATAAATTAAGGCAGAAGCCTTGGATCGTCTGGCACACAAGGCTGCCAGAAATATGAAGAAGTTTCCACATACAGGCTGGATCAAGAGCATAGTAAGGCTGGAACTGTAGGAACAGCTATGACGACACTGGTTGGTGCCTATGCTTGAGGCTGGTTTAACATTTTCTTTTTTCAGCACTGCTGCTATTGGACAGCTGCCTATCAATTATAATAATGATGATGATGATGATGATGATGATGATGATAAAGTTGGAAGGGACCTTGGAGGTCATCTAGTCCAACCCCCTGCTCAGGCAGGAAACCCTATACCATTTCGGACAAATGGCTGTCCAGTCTCTTCTTAAAAACTTCCAGTATTGGAGCATTCACCGCTTCTGGAGGCAGGTTGTTCCACTGGTTAATTGTTCTAACTATCAGGAAGTTTCTCCTTAGTTCTAGGTTGCTTCTCTCTGTGGTTAGTTTCCACCCGTTGCTTCTTGTCCTGCCTTCAGGCGCTTTGGAAAATAGCTTGACTCCCTCTTCTTTGTGGCAGCCCCTGAGATACTGGAACACTGTTATCATGTCCCCCCTCGTCCATTAAATTAGACATACCCAATTCCAGCAACCGTTCCTTATATGTTTTAGCCTCCAGTCCCCTAATCATCTTTGTTGCTCTTCTCTGCACTCTTAGAGTCTCAATATCTTTTTTACATTGTGGTGACCAAAACTGGATGAAGCATTTGGGTCCTGCAAGAGTGCTACTCTTGCAGGAACAGTGGGAATTTGGAGCCCCATAGCAATGGAAGGGAAAATAGTAACTAGAGTTCCTGGCTTTTAGTTTTGCAAAGGAAAACATCTTTATAATCTATAAACCCAAACCCAAGAGACCATGGATGAATGCTCGGTTCTATCTATTCCTTCTGCTATCTTGGTTTCAGTCTCAGATTCTTCCTTTTCATTAAGCCATGCTAGAGGTAAAGAAATTGCCCACGGCTCCATATAATGTATGTTTTTATTCTTGTTTTTGGCTGAAAAGAATCGAGCTGTGTGTCTCATTAACAGGTTGAAAAGACTGAAGGTTGATTCGGCACTGAAAAAGATCTATAGTCAGCTGTCACTGGGTGAGCTGTTATATAAATGTCAGATGGCTTTGGAGCTGAATGGCTTAGCCTTTTGCTGCTGCTTTCTCTTAGAATGTGTCCGATTCTCAGTTGTTTTTGGTGTAAAAGCTCAGAAGATCTCTGTTGTATAACTTAGCATTCTTTCCAGTCTATGAGTCCTGAATTACAGAGATGGGCATCTTGCCGAAAGAAATAAATTAAATGCCACCATTTTCATCTGAGGCCATCCGAACAATTCTGTAGCCTTAATTAAGATTCACATAACCCTGTGGGGCTGACAAATGTGGTTATTATACTCATTTTACAGCTGGGTAAACAACAAAACAGAATGACGACTTTTAGGTTCATCAGCAAGGCAGTGTGGAGTTGGGAAAACAATATGGTGTACCA